TCTTCTTGTAAAGAATGATAGCTTATTATATCTTATAACTCATCAGAATTCATCAAACAGAAATACAGTACAATTATCTCTCGAACATTGCAATTTTTTTTTAAATAAATTTAAAAAATAATAATATAATTTATAAAATTTATAAAATTTATAATAGTTTAAAAAAAATAATAAATATAAATAATAAAATCAAGACCGGTTAGCTTATTTTGATAAAATTTTGTTTTAGTTTATTTTTATTCTCAAAAGTCTTGAAAATAGCATGTCATTTATAATTATACATATATAATTAATAATCATTACAATAATAATATAATTTAAAGATAAAAACATAAAATTTTTTCTTACTGCAACTTTTGATGTACATTGTATATATATCATAGATATAATAGATATATAATAGTATATATAGTTAGTCACAAAAGTTTTCATACAAAGAAATCTTACAAGGTATCTTACAAGGAAATTTACCTATTTTGAAATATTGATTTTATATATACAGAGTGTTAATAAACATGTGGGATACTTTTAGAGATTGTGATTCTAGACATCAAAACGATGAAAAAAGTTCATATGTCCGATAAAGCTTAAATAACGAATTATAAGTATTTTAAATTTATATTTAAAATAGATAGAGCGAGACGACGAAAGAATGAAACGCTCAAGCTAGCAGTACCGTATTGCAATATTGCGTGCGCAACAGAGCCCTTCAATGAAAATAAATGTACTAATACTTTTTTATATACAATTGATTATTTTAAATAAATTTTAGTGTAATGTAATATAACGTATTATGTAACTTCTTATTTAACAAAATCTTACCTGAAATAAGTTTTAGTAAATTCCAATGAATATTAACATATACACCATTTTATATAAATCTATAGATAAATTATTTTATAGTACAAACATATTATTTAAATCCATAGTTGAATTGTTGTATGACACTCAATTTGTCTATTTACCGTAATCCATAGGAATAAATCAAAATATACTCCCAGATACTAAGATTTCAGATTAGAAAAGTCGAATGTATTTTTTTATGTAAACTTGTTTATCTTCACATGTATAAGAAGATTAATGATACTTGAATCAATTTGAAATTCATAGACCAATTGAAGCATCAGTTAAAAAACTTTTGTTTCTATTTCACTTAAATTTAATATTTTTTATTCCGATATGAGATTACTAAACAAAAAAGTTGAAATTCAATATTTATATTTTAATATAATATTATAATATCACAAATATTCAAATATGTATTATTTCATCAAACTCTGAACTGATTCTGCGACAATTTGTTGAAAATTGAAATAGCATTGCTAACAATTAAATGCTAGGCATTAGAAAAAGAGATTTGAAATGAGAGACTTGATAGAAAGAAAAAATGAGATAGTAATATTCGAAATCGAATGTTATGTTTATGTGTTTTAAGTATAAGAATACAAAAACCTAGATCAATAATCTTTCCCATTGTTAAGATAGTGTTGCTTTATTCTAGATTCAGTTCGTTCATGTAATGTATATTAGAAATAAAAATTAGTGAATTTGTAATATTCATTCAAACATACATAAAAAAAACAATTGCGATATGTATGCATTTTTATGGATATGTGATATTAATATATAATATTAATATTGATTTATATTATTAATAAGTGATATCCAGATCGATTATTATCTTTCTCTGCATAAGAATGAAAAATATTTAGTGCAAGTGAAATAAAGATAAATATTTGTCAATGATTTGATTGGATAATTTAATAATTTGAAATTCAAATTGATTCAAGTATTTCGCTACATATGAAAATAATTAAAAAAGCAATTATACATATAAAAACACATTCAACCTTTCTAATTCTTATAGAAGTGTGTTTTGATTTGCTTTTATGGATAAACACGCATTGAATAAAATACAACGATTCATTTATGACTTTAAATAAAATATATATTGTATAATCATCATATAATTCCAAATATTATGGAATTTGCTATAATTTGTCTTTGAGGTAAGTTTCTGTCAAACTAATTACATAGATTTTAATTTGCATAATTAAAATTTTTTTTTAAATGATATAAAAATATT